TAGCAGCTCTTAAGCGATTTTGTGCGAGAAGAAGGGAAAATCTCTTCCATCATTACAGATAATGCCACAAATTTTAAGGGGGCTCATACAGAGTTAAAGCGTTTACAGAAATTGATTAGAAAACCAGATGAGGCGTTATCCAGCTATTTCACCTCAGAATCTATAGTCTGGAAATTAATTCCCCCTAGCGTCACCGAATTTTGGTGGATTGTGGGAAGCGGGAGTTAAATCCTTTAAGTACCCATCTTAGAAGAACTATGGGAAGTACTAAGGTTACGATGGAAGAATTTCTTACAATCATTACTCAGATTGAAGGAATTTTAAATTCCCGCCCGTTAACCCCTATGTCTAATGATATTAATGAATTTGAAGTTTTAACGCCAGGACATTTTTTAGTCGGCCGTCCAATCACGTCTATACCAGAGCCTGAACTTATTGAAATCACTGATAATAGGTACAGGTAGAAGCTAGGCCAGCACCTCCGTAGTACCACAGGTAATTGAGGTATTGCTGAACCTAGCTAACTGTTAAACTTTCCACCCCAATTTTGAGGGAGAACACCCCGGGGGGTGGTCCGAGGTTCTCCCGCCTCTCTTTTTTTATCATCAACCACTTGAGAGGACTTTTTGAGATAAATGAGTTCTGGTATTAATAGTATACACAAATCATATTGAGAAAAGACTGTCCTTGAAAAGTTCAACAACTGATGCTTCCAAAAGCAGAAATGTAAGAATAAATGTCTTTTCTAAGGCGGAAGGTGTAATAAGCAAGTCTTTGAAGCTCCCGTCCATTAGCATTGCGTAGATAAATGAAACTGTTGGAACATTAAAATGAAATAAAAAAAATAAAAATAATTAATAAAAAAATAAAGTCTGCTAGGCATTCAAACTGACCCTATTTCCAATCACTGATAATAGGTTATCAAGGTGGCAGCGGACAACAAAATTTGTTCAATTAATATGGAAGCGTTGGCAAACAGATTACCTCAATCACTTGCAACAGCGCAATAAATGGCAGTTTCAGAAATTCAATGTAGAAACAGGTGCAATGGTTTTACTTAAGGATGAGAATTTGCCGCCTTGCCATTGGGCCTTAGGTAGAATTTTAGAGACAATCCCTGATGCATATGGTAAGGTACGTGTAGCTAAAGTTAAAACTGCTTCAGGAATCTGTACTAGATCTATATCAAAGATCTGTTTATTGCCTATGTAATATTCAGATTTCTACTGACTTTATATATATTTGTGGAATCAGTTTATACATTACAAGAATTTAATAATGATTATATGTTTAAAGGATTTGTATGGCTTATTTTGAAATGTATGTGTATTGTAACACTTTTTATGTCAACTTAGTATATATTGTTTGCATAATTACTATTTTCAATATTTAATGTTCTTAAACTCCATAATTCAGTTTTAGATCTCTAGTAATCTCACAATTATTTATGTGATTATCAGTTTTGAAATATTGTGATTTGTCACTAATTAATTAATTGAAATTTTTGTATCAAATTTCAATGCCGGGCGGAATGTTCCGTCTCGGTTAGAATATTTATGTCTATTTGTACTGGCTTAATGTTTGCAGCGCCACGTAATGTTAGTGGCGAGAGCCCAGTACTAATCAGTAAGCGATAGGGATGCACTCGGTCCACATCGAGTCTCCGTTCCTCTGCCCGAACAAAGCGGCAGTCAATTGTTAATTATTCATTACTCACTCTTTGCCCGTTTAAGCGCCATTATTGTTCTTGAAAGAAAATAAATGTTGTTAAGTTTCTCAACTTGACTTTTATGAATTAATATACAGTCCACAACTACCTATTGCTATCAACACATACCAAAAGCCAATATTAATTCCTCGTAGCGCAATTATATTCTAACCTACAGAAAGTGTTTAATTTACTCTGATTTATTATTATTGGCAGTATAAAAAGTTTTCGATACTGATAAATAGTAACTAAATACTTTGAACTAGAGAATTATTTCTTTCAACTGGATGAAAAATGTGTGACAGTTCTATTCGATACTTTTCAATTACTATGCTCATCGTACTTCATGCTGTAACCTAGCACGAAAAAATGCGTGATATGCCATTGCCAAAAAATATTTTAGTAATAAGTTTTAATACTCATAAATGTTAAATTAACATTTAATGGATGAAATCAGTAAATAAATTTATCATTAAAATTTATATTTTTTTCATTTTTCATAGCTATTCAATTAGCACGTATTTTGACACTGGAATAGAATCCACCAGAGATCTTATTTTACATCATAAAAAAATGGCAGTTAATTCGCTAATAGCAATCCTATAAATAGAGGGGGAAGAGGAGAAAATTATAGTTTGTTCTGCATTTGAAATTTAATTTTTCATTATTGTTATTAATAAAGAGTCTGTTTATTTCTCTTTCATAACCCTTATGAATCAAAGTGTCACAATAAAAATATAAACTAAGAACAGAGAAGTAAACAACCTGTAATAAAAAGCAATATGAAACAGATGTTAGAGAGTTTCTTCATTTAGAAAGAGAAAGGTAGGCTGAAAAAGAAAGTAAAAGAACTGCAAGACTTCAATGCAAAGAAAGGTGAATTCGCATGTTTGTTTATTATTACAAAAGCTCGTGAATAGTACAGCGTAAAGCAGAGTTAATATATTAACATTTTTGCTCGGGCTGCTTATTGCTACATTTGTGTTTACTATGGGTAAAAACACTCCGGTTAACCTTGCTTCCTTTAGAACTTTGTTTTCCAAAAACGCATCCTGAGCATTAAGTGAGGTAATAATGTTAAAGGGTAAGGGGTTCAGCAATGAACAGTCAATTTAAAATGCTAATAATTTATCTATGTAAGGTTAAGTTCGGTTAAGTTTTGTTGTATATTCCAAAGAATGAAAATCTACAGTCAGGAAATGCTGTTCTCCCTTTACTTTGAAAAATGAGTTATTCCGCAGTTGTTTGAGTTTTTCTATTAAAACATATTTCTTCCTGCAGCGAACATCATGCGAAACACTGCGCAAATGTTCAACGAAACGCAAGGTTGATAATGTTCGTATCGTTCCATAGATACTGGATAAACAAATGCAGGAGTTAAAAATAACAAGATTCATTCTCGATTGATTAAATGGACTTCTATTACATCAAGTAAACCCTTACCGTACAAATACTATATTTTTCTCTATTAGTAGTCAGTCTGGGACAAATGCATCGGTTATGGTCACCGTTGTTATTATCGTAGACCAATGATTTATTTCTGTTAATTACGGCAAAGAATGCGCTTTCGTCTACTAAAGAACCTTTTAGGCACTTTCAGGCACTAAATATAACGATAAAGATGAATTCGAAGCAGTTGTTAGCTGTTAGTGAAATGTTAATCAACGACATGGGAACATCTGCGGTCACCATTGTTATTATTATCGATCAATGCTTTATTTCTGTTAACTATGCCCAAAAGTGCGATTTTGTTAAAGACAAAAATCTACTAAAGAACCCCTCAGGCGCTTTCAGGCACTAAATATAAAGATGAATTTCAAGCAGTTGTAAGTTGTAAGTGAAATGTTAATCAAGGACATGGGAACATCTGCGGCCAGATGGATTTCAATTATCTTAATTTATATTAATATTTCAAATTTCATCTACATTTTGACCTTTCGTTTCTAGACTTCAATCACAATAATTTAATTTTTCATTATTGTTTATACTCGAAATTTATAAAAATTAATTTACGCTCAGGTGAAATTCAACACTTCGAGACCGTGTTATTGTAGAATCTCGGGAATAGCTGATACAAGCTTATTCCTGAATTTTGCTGATTTAAGGCTGAAATGCTTAGTGTGAAGCTCTTCATGAACTGCTATTTCCATATAAACATGAGGTGCCATCCAGGAATACATGAAATTAACAATTCCATTGATAGTATAAACCAGTCCTTGTACGTTTTATTGTGTCAACTAAATACTGAGTCTCGTAGATTGCAAAGAACGTTAATCTACTGGCAAAGTTTTATGTCGCAAGCAGTATAATTCTTTATGTTTTGTATATTATTTTTAGTTTAAATTACAAATTGTGGAATATTTCAGTTGTTTAATATTCAATTTTCTAAAAAAGTTGTTAATATTCAATTTTCTAAAAATCGTATTTCTGATGCAGGCACTGTGTATTCGCTTGATATTTTAGACAGCTCATATTGGCCATCAGATCCACTTTACAGGTAGTGACAGAAGACTGTTTATTTATGAGCTATAAGATATTGTCACGCGTGGGTCCAGAATAGCAACTCATTCAAGAACCTTATCACTTGCCTTGTGTTTTTAAAATTTATGCTGTAAGCATAAAACTGACTTATGTCAATATACGAACTTTACTTCAAAATATGAATACCTGATTTAATGGTTGTAGCTTTATTGATTGGACTACAAATAGGCTTTAACGAATTTTGTCATTTTTTAAATTTTGTTCTTTAAGGTCAAGGAGGAGACAACTAGTATATCATTCAAAAATATGATATATGGAAAATCTGTACAGAAATACTGCATTTCATGAGAAAAATGTAGCGCCTGAAACCTTAGTTTGAAAAGATTTATCATATTCCTTCATGCATGCCCTCGTAGCGTAAGTGGTTGGTACGTCTATCAAGCAGCTGAAGATCCATTGCTTGAACCCCGGTGAGAGCATAATCGATATATCACGCATAAAAAATTATAAGCATTATTTATACACTTCACCTTCATATACACAGTTATAATTGGATAAAATATTGATAAATCTAAATCAAACATTACAGATATGGGAAGATTTTAAATGCAGAGGGTAAATTGGTGCTCAGTAGTATTTGCATTTGTATCATTTATTTATTACTTAAGAGAGGAAATCTATGTTACTTATAAATGATTTAATAAATTTATGTTACTTATAAATAGCTTACTGTTACTATAAATACTTACTATAAATAACTTACTTAATATGTTACTTCTAAATTTATGTTACTTGTAAATGTTTTACTTACACCTTTCATCCAAATAACCTTCGGAATTGGATATCCGTTGAAAGAAATGGCCAAAGTAACGGATTCACCCCTGAGGACGGTGACACTCTGAGGGCCCTTGACGATCCTCGCTGGGCACTCGACAGGGGACGACACTCGCTGTAAATCTGACTCCAGGGATTCTGTCTTGGGAGAACTGTTTTCGTCTAGAAATACTTCGCATTCTTCTTCGATGAGAGGACTGGAATATCTGCAAAGTATAAATTTATTTAACTATTTAAGCCACCCACTACAGTCATATTTAAAATTTTACTGTAGTTTTTGTATTTTATATACTAATTACTAGATAAAAAATATGTCTATTACAAGAGAAAAATTTCTATGTAGTTTTTTCGGCATGCTGTCATTTGAGAATATCCATGTTTAGATCCCCGAACTGTACAGGATGTCCTGTAAATATCGATATTTTCTAAGAGCTACCTCCTAGTTATATTGAACATGAAACAAGCATGACAAATTTATACATGCGCTCTGTTCACCAGTATTCAAACTACCAGTGTATTAAACTATTGTATTGATGACTACGGTAAACTGAGTAGTTTTAGCCGGCAGGTAAATACAAATGAAGGAATAAGCAGCCAGAACAGAAATGTCAATATTAATTCTGCGTTACCGTTTATGCAAAATTGTATAATAATAAACAAACATTCGAATTCATGAATTTTCATTGCCATGAAGTCTTGCTTTTCTAAAATCTTTTTTTTTTCCACATTTCTGAGACCTTTCATGATACACTATACAAGAGATACTACAGTTTACATATAATTTCAGCAAAATTATTTACATATATAGAAAGTTCGAAACAAAACGATAGATTACAATGTAGTTAATTTGACTCTAGTTATCTCTTTGCCTCAGGTGAAAAAAAATCTAGGCACGAAAGAAGGTCTTAGAATTTTGTCGCAAACCTCTTTCTATGGTTTTTAACCACTATCTCTATTTATAGACTAGTATTTTTATTCAAATACAGCAAAGTTCGGACACAAATTTATAAGTGCCAGATGGAGCTTGTATAGGTCAATTTGGTAATCTTTCGACGTCTTTGCCTTATGATTTACCGAAAGAAAGCTAGTGTGCAATCTGGTAGAATTTTTTAAGCACAGCTGGATGGTTTTTGATTACATTTAATTTGAATGAAATTGAGAAAAATTTAAAAAAATGAAATGAAAAAAGAAATGAAAAAATTCTAACTGCCTTATAGTACACTTCAGATCATTCCACTAAATGAAAATTGGCTTCAATTTCTTCTTTCGTTTTCCACGCACCATAAAGAAAATTAGGCATCTTAATTTTTCAAAATTAATTTTAAAAGTTTAAAAATATCATAATATGAATATTTGACGTATTTAGAATACTTTTATGATTGTAAATATATGTCTAGGACCAACGGGTGTTAAAATAAAAACCGTTTTAAGATTTTTACGGACCCGGTTTACATGTTCATGACAATAATTCATATGTGCCAATGTTATTAATTACTTCTGAGTGATTATTCTCAAAATTATCATCAAATTTTTTGTAAGTTCAGAATGTCATACTTATTGAAAGCAATTTTCAGGTCTTTGTGAATCACAAGATTGTGTAAGCCATAACTATAGAGTCTCGTTAGGAAAAAAACAAAAATGCAACTTTTATGTTGCCCTACATGAGATTAACATTTTCCTGTATAAAAATTTAAAATTAAAAATAATTATGTTTTAAAATTATTAAGCTATCAGCTTGCTGAATTCTTGGAAAATTTCTATAGCATTCTTTTTTTTAATCAAAACAAATTTTTATTATGTTTGATTGACTTGAGGGAACAAACTTTATAACTATAATTAAATCCTTTACAGTTTTTTTTAATGGAAATGTTAAAAAACTGGATTAAAGAGATGGAAAAATTAGTAACCAATGATGCTTACAGAGACTGGCAACTGTGTGATTATGTAATCAAATCTTGGCTTATTAGTTTTGCAGTAGATTTAAAAGGCATCAGAATATTGCCCTAAAAAGTTGCTAAACAATAGGATGTGAAATAGTTTTCAAAATGAATTTCTCAGAATAGACTTGCTAATTTTAGAGTATAATTATAAATATATGTTCTTTTCGCATAATCGTGTTAACATGCTAAAAAATTTTTAGAATATCACAGTAATCAAGCGAGCTCAATTAGCTTCCCAAATTTACGAAAAGCCAGCTAACGGCTGTAGTTAAAAAAATTAACTATTTCAGATAAAAAAAAAACACAACGATGAAATCGGGAATACCATTATCACGGTTTTAGGCGAAGTTTGTGCGCTGCAGGAAACTGAACACCGATGATTTTCTATCAGAAAACAGAGTGGTAATAGGAAAACATGCTCCGTTCTCTGTTTCCTGAAACACCTTTGCGGTGCTTTGTGACAGATATTTTTCTGCGCTTTTTGAATGAAATCTCAAATTTACGTTAGAAAACTAAAATTCATATAGAGAAAACTACGAAAATGTCCATGTAGACTGCCTGTAGTATGGAATTTGCAGCTAATACCCAACTATTAGTGTTCAGTTATCCACTCGACCACAGGTAGCTTCAAAATGTCATCGGCAATATGCCGAGACTTAGTTGCAGAAACCAAAAATTTTACTTTCAATATTTTCATAGGAATATTTCAAGCCGCCCAGCCGGTATAGTGGCTAGTGATCCTGACAGCCCCAGCGAGAGGCTGGGGCTCGAATCCCAGAGAAGGCACGGTTCTAACTGTACGTTCCTTCATAGCAGGGAACTGTAGCCACCTATTAGGTGCTTCCATTATGAAATGGCCACCACTTCCGGCCCTTATAGTGGCGCAAGGCTAATGGCTATTAAATAAAGCGCCTGGCCATTTAAAAAAAAATAAATAGGAATATTTCAAACAAAATGGCAACATTTCAAGCATACTACAATATTTAATTCTATTTCTTAAATGTTGATTTTTTATTACGTAATCGCATGAATTAATTTTCTTTTCTTTTTTTTTTTTTTTTTTTTTTCCCCTAAACAGCATTTAGAATTGTTGACGTTTTGAAACAAACATTGGATTACAATGGAGTTCAACAAAACTGACAAAGGTTCAGAATACAACAAAATAAAATCAGTTACATAAACCATTAATTAAGGTTTTAAAATAAGCATTATTGTAAAGCCACTAATTTCTTATTAAGTATTATTGCAATAATATTCTAAAAATACACATGCATTATTTACATTCTGGTATCGGAAAAAACTCATTCAAGTTAAAGATGAAAAAGGCTTTTTTATAACCACAGAACTTTCTTAGCATTTCTTAGCATTTTCTTAGAACTTTCTTGACTTTCTTAGTCAAATTCTTTCAATAGCATCTGATGGAAGCACTTACCTTATCTTACCCTTACAATGCTTTCTTCCATGGAAGGATCCGGATCTTTGTCTTTCACCGTTAGGATCACAATCTTTAGTTGGCGCCGTAGAATCTTGCACAGAAGATGGTAAATCTTGCTTTTCTTTTGCCTTTTCTTGAGTCTAATATGGATGAAACATAATTAAAAAACTCAACATTTTGCTCCTATTTTGATAATTTTTCATAAATTATGCAATAATTTATATTTGGTATTGCTTTATTTAAAGCAATAGATTACGCCATTCCGTATTAACGGCATCTTACGCGTTCTATTGGTTCCCAGCTCTTTGCTTGTTTTCGCAAAAACTGTTTACGTACTTTGCATATCACATATTACCATCAGGCATGCTTTTATTTAGTGACGATCAAATTTTGGCCTGCGTCAAGGTGAATCAAATTTATCATTAATGCTATTGTCAAACCTCACACTTTCTCACCCATATATATTTTCATACACGCTTGCGATAATATGCGGCATACTTGAAGATTTCTCACAAGGTCGGACAAAGCTGGTGTAAATAAGGCAGTTGTCTCAGATAAACAACTGGAAAGAGGACAAAACTGGCTATAAAAATATTTGATGTGGCCAGCAGATGACGTTCCACCAGTTCTATGTTTTAAATAGCAGTTCCAGTTCATCGTTTGTAAGCAAAATCTAAATTGTTGTCTCAATAAATAGAAAGGTCTGTAATACGAAATTTTGGATTATACTTTACGTGCATAAAAAATGCGTAAAAACTGTTTTTGCTAAATTTATGCCTATATAGTCAAACGTTTGCTCCTTTATTTTTTTATTAAAAATTGTATTGCACAGTTGAATAGCATATAATTTAAATGGCTTATAATTACAGAAAATTAAATGCTTGTAACATATTTAAAACACATACTTTGAAACTAATACCCAAATTATTTTTTTTTCTTTTTTGTAACATCAGCAAATTTAAATTCAATTTGATATGCAAGTATCTTCCGTAGGTATTTAGGTAACAGTAAACAATGCTTGTTAATTTTTGGAATTACAGCTTAAGAGAGATTACCTTGCGTTCTTTAGTTTGATATAAATAAATATCACGTCTAGATATAATAGAAATATTCTTAAAACGTGCAGCCATTATTTTAGATAGTTTTATAGTGATTCTATATTTACAGTTATATACTCTTATTATAGCGATTCTATATTGTTCGACAAATATGTGCAAAGAGTTTCGAAGTGAAATAGCACTTCCGCTTTATCATATGTAGTCAAAACCTAGTATGTTGTTCTCTATCACGATTGCATATGAATCGTATATGCATACCAAATCTGAAAAGTTTTGGATTATGTCACAATGAAATTTTTCCCGAGCAAATCTATTTGAACCGTATCTACTTAATATTACTTCCGGTTCATGAGTTTTGCCCAAAATCTAATCTGTGGTTCACATTTATATAAAAGTCTTAAACACTAAATCTGAAAAGCTTTAGATTATATTTTAATATAGATTTTCATTAAAAATTTTTATGGACTTCAAGTAAAGCACCATTCCGTTTGTCCAGTTTTACCTCAAATCTAAACAACTCTTTATATGAATAAAGCTTAAATAAGGAAAACAGAAATTTTTCCTAATTTTAGTTACTATGGATGAAAAAATCTTCCGACACTTACAGGACACCGAGACAGATATCATTTAAAAACAATAAAAATATGACACGTGAATTCGTGCTTATTCACTTTGGGAAGTAATAAGGATTCTAAAAAATAAAAAAATAATTACATTAATCGTTTTATTAAGTCAACGTTATGATCTGCCCTTATAAGTATATCACAGACCTGCAGTCAGCTATATTAATATAATGCAGTTTTCCGTTGTATTATATTATTAGTTCAAAGGGGCTTTGTCCTTGAAGGACTATTCGTTTTGCGTTGAAAACTTTATAAGGCTGTATCACTTTTCAAATCGTTGCCATAAAATACTATCGCCCTGTATTATATTCGAAGTAATTAAATAACGAAGGATCTGCATAAATGTATGTATGTTTCTTGCATTGTGATAAAACAACGGTACCTAGAGCCATCGAATTTTGAATGACGTAATCCTACTGCGAATATGGGCACTTGAAAGCCCAAATCTGAAATTTGGAATTTGTTTTGTTATCAATTTCACATTTTGTAAAACTTTAAAGAATTTCTAATTAACAAACTTAACGATTTAAAAGCGAGCAACAGCAAAACTCTACGGGGGAAAAAAACCTTTTCATCTCCAGGAGATGAGATTCCTTAGAGATTCTTTGTCTCCAGCGTGCAGAACTATGTATCGGAAATTCTAAAGACTTACCTTAGACTTATTTTGCGACATTGCTATTGAAGTGAATTTTTTTGGTTTAAGTGCAAAGATCATGATATTTAATAAATAAAGCTATCACACAAGACGTTAAAAAGACGCCCCTGGGGACGTAATTTAAAATCTGAAACCTTTCGGTTTTTTTTTTTTTACTTTTATTTATTTATTTATTTAGTTGACAATTAATTCTAGATGAATCAACAGCAACCTAATTAATGACGTTTCTTCATTCTTATAATTGTTGCAGTTCATTATCACTAATATGAACATGATTTTTTCGTAAGTCTTTATGCCTCGAAAGTATTGGGAACCTATGCGAACTAATAAACATGTTTCGTTGGCTGTTTAAATGCGGAAACGGCTTATGGAAGACACATGCGTTTGGATCTCTTTCTTCCATATGGTACACTGACTAGGTGCAAGTATCCAAATCAGTAGTCTCTAACTCAAATTGAATGCCGGCCGAATGTACAATATAAAAACAGTTGACGGGCCATTATTTTCACGAAGAAAACATTTTTTCTTTTCAAAATATTTATTAAAATATACATAAACAATAATAACAATATCGCAAAAGGAAAAATTCAAATTTATATTTATTTTCTTTTTGAAATGTAAAATTTGGTGCACTGCAAAAAAATGGGACAGTTCTATATCTTCCGTTCTACTGGGCCGATAGAAGAAATTCAAATTGCATTTTTCATGTCTCGAAAGCGCGACTTAAGAAATATATTATATTAATGTATAGCACTGTTCTAATTTGCTAGGTTTTCAAACTGACCCTCTTTCCAATAGGTATTTTGATACAAAAACCGGACTTTTTTTGAAAAGACATGCTAATCGTTTTTCCATATTTCTATTATACGACTCAAATTATTCCTAAGTATTAAATTCTGTAAAATGTGATGCGAAATTTACGCAGAAATTCAAAAATTTATCTTGGAGCATTTTTTCAGTTTGAGCCAAGAATAATTCACTTGGCGAACTTCTTAATTTATGGCGACCTATTTTTTTTTTTTTTCCTTTTTACATTGTGCATGAGATCGAAAAAAGTCGCATCGTTCCTACTTTCAAATAATTTTAACAAAGTGCGTAAACCACATTAGATGTTATTATCGCTTTCAACAAATATTCCGAATTTAAAAACGCGCCAACATATAAATTCACGTATATCTTCGGAAATTTGGAATAAGAAACTAATCTTTTGTAAGTATGCTTAGAAATACATCTACTTTAAGATGATGGTAAAAATTTTAGATATTATAATTCAAACTTTTTTCGAAAAATTTATAAAAATTATTTAAAAATACGAATTTTAAAAGTAAATCATAAAAAAATGGGTGAATTTTATTTTGAATGAACCTAAATTTCGAAATGTGAAAGGAAGAATCAAATAAATTTAATAAAAAAAAGAGAAATTAATAAATACATATACCAAACTCAAATAACATTGAGAAGCTAAACTTTTGAGAGCTAATTTTTGAAAAACTATTCGTGCTAATTTTAGAAAACTTGGCAGTTTGGCATAATTTGAATCGTAGAACCGAAATACGGAAAAAAATTGGCATATCATTTCAGAAAAAAAATCCGATTTTGTATTAAAATACCTAGTATATTAGAACAATGCTATATATAAATCTAATACATATCCCAAGTCGCGCTTTCGAGACATGAAAACAGCAAGCTGAATTTCGTCAATCGACCGAATAGAATGGGAGATATAGAACTGTCTTTTTCCCCCTTTCCCCCTTTTTTTGAGCAGTGTACCTATGAGAGGTTTTTGTTAGTGACATTTTTTGTAATTCAGATATATTGACAGTTAAACATTAAATTCTTAAACTGATATTTCTTCCAAATTATTTTATATGTTTAATTATTCATTAAATATCCTACTTTAATTCAAACTAAAAATAAACTAATCATGATAATTTTCTAAGTTTTCAAAGAAAATTTTCCAGGTGGAACAAAACCCTTGAGAATAAATAATTATAACCTAGCATATTTCTATTATTTACTAAATTTTCTTCGAAGCGTAATAAATAAAAATGCATATTTTTATATTTAAATATCTTCGTTATCTCGTATTATAACTAGACACTTGAAGGCATTTCGAATTTGATAAAGAAGAAGACAGAAATCGCTAGGATTTATCTTCATCACGTATGTAATAAGGCAAAGTATTCATTTTCTCAATTATTATTTTTAAACCACATATGACGAAAATTATGTAGAAACAATTTAATATTCTAAAATAATATGAAAGAACAAATAAAAACGTAAACAGAAAACTAATACATCATGTGCCTGATCATTATGTTTTGTCATATAAATCGGCCTTTGGTTTGTGAAAGTTAACGCTATGTTATATGGGAACTAAAATACTGAATTATTACTAAGACTTCTTGAATGGATTTATTCGAATGACTCTTCTGAAATTACAATATTTTTATGCTTACGGGTATTGTTTGCCAGAACAGCGTGAAATTTTGTGCCACGGTTTAAACTAAACGATTTACGGCTGAAAATTATTTAATCAAAACCAAAGCAATTTATCAGCTTTTGCGAAAGGCATAATAAGATTTACCACACACCTTCAGAGTTTAAAAAAAGCTCTTTCTAATTTATTTTCAATTGTGTTCATTATTCATAATTGTAGATTTATTTTGCTTCCATCCCAGTTTAATTTTAAGCGAATCCTGGTGGTTGCGAAGCGCATGGCATAATTAGAACGTTCAGTAGATTTAAACGCGACTGATCTATGAAACCTGATGATGAAAGCAAGATTGACCATCACCAATTTT